CCCTGGTGGACACTAGAGAGAATGCAGCTTCAACACATGAAGCTTTGTCTTCACTTTACAGAACCGGAGGTTGGCGCCTTTCCACAACTAGTATTTAGTTTGGGGTTCAAAAATGAAAATAATATATTTATATTCTCATGTGAGGCAAATGTTTACAAGTTCAACAGAGTAAGAAGCTGAGAGGAAGTCCTTTAAACTGACAGTGTGGTTGTATGAGATACAAATCAGTATCAGTTTAAGTTTGGTTCTCTTTTGTTTCCGCTGACAACACCTCACACTTCACTTGTTACTGACTGACACACTTCACAATGCTAACTATTGCTTCACTTCCTTATAATGAATCAATTTAATCTACCGTCCTCCACTGTAGGAGCCGGGTTATGACAAAGAGGCCGCCGCCTGCAGGGAGAAGGCATTGGTTGTTTGAGACAGAACGTAATGCTGGCTGTTGGGACGCGGCGTCTCATCGATACGGTTGTTGGAGACTTCTGTCTTTTGTTCAGCTTGACTTAAGTTCTTTACAATTGATTTTAGGAATCGATTTAGAATCTTGAAGGATAAGAATCTTGATTCTTACATGTCTTGATTCCCCCTCCCCCACTCTAGAGCTTCACTTAAACTGAGAGACATTCTGTTAGGAGTCTAACATACGTCCACAGCAGAACATCACTTTGCTCCCGTGCTGGTTCTCCTGTCTGTTTCTATCAACTCATCTACTGTAGTAGAACCCTGACTGTGGAGGACAACCTCACTACACACACTACAGAACATCAGTACTGTCTCTTTAAGACTAGAATAAACATGTGCGATATACAACGTGCACTGTGGCATGATGCTCCCATCAGTCGTGAGACAGACTCTTACTCCAGCTTTGTGCCGTAGAGCTCGTCCGTCTCCTGCAGTTCTCTGGAAGTCGGCCAGCTGCTCCTCCAGCAGACGGTCGAAGCTCTTCTGGTCTTCAGAGCTCGGGTCTCTGCTGTAGTCTTTGCCCTCAAAGTAGTACATGTGGTCTGGAGGGACAGGGCAGCATGATGGAGTGTTAACATTCAATCACAACGTTAAGCTTCTACTTGTGGTGTAACAGACCGTTGTGGATCCCTTGATTAACTACTAGAATAAATCCAGTAGTTTGAAGGAGATGTTTTCATGTTAATATAAAATAGATATTAGAGATGAATTATGAGCTGTTTAACTTCTAACACGAGCTATAAGAACATTATTATACATCATTAAAGATAATGATTAGATTTGTTTTAATCAATAAAAATATAATCTTTGATTTCCTAATTATTTGAAGTGTGTTTTTATGTTAATATGGATCATCAATGATCAATAATTAGTATCGGCTGCAAAAAAATGTGATGATCTGATCAATGACTGTGAACCTTCTGCTCATACTTGTAAATATGAACCCAACAGAGGAGACCTCTGGTGCATTTTCTTGTTTGCAGGTTGAGAACTGAAAGTAAGAGCGAGACGTTCACGTGTCAGAGTAACCAGTCTAAACACCGGACACACCAGTAGTGTTCTGACAAAGTGTCTGAATGTTCTGCACACACGAACAAAAGGAGATTTTATAAGATAACACATACTCTGCCTGTCAGATGCAGAGCCGCTCTCCTCCTCTTCTTCTTCTTCTTCCTCCTCCTCCTCCTCTTCTTCCTCTTCCTCCACCCACTGACCGTCACGAGACGGACCGAGGATCTTCTCCAGTTTCACATCCGTCACAGAGCTCTCCTCCGATGACAGAAGCTTATCCACCCCGAACTTCAAGATCTCACTGAGCTGCAGAGGACAAGGACACATGAGCGGACAACTGGAGGGGGTGTAATAAAGAGGATATAATAAAGAAGATGTTATTTGATCTTCCAAAAACCTGAAGTCCTGCAGCAGCTGACTGAGCTTGGTCCAGCAGAGAGAAGCGACCTTCTTCAATGACCGTGTTGGTGAGGAGCAGCTTGGACACAGCTCGAGAGTACATGATCTCCTCCACGGTGTCTCTGGCCAGGAGGCGGATCACCTTCACGGGCCTGTAGCGAGTCAAAGATTAAAGAGCTTCTCTAGCAATTCAGTATCATTAAAGGGACAGTTCAAAACAACAGAAAAGCTTCTAACTACATTATACATCAGTAGAGACCGGACGAAGCTACGCTTGTAAATACGTGTGTGTAAACCATATGGTACAAACAATGACAACAACGCTGCCGTATTTACGCCTCGATGACGGTATTTTGGTGGCGATTTAGAAGAAAAGTGCAGCAGGCTACATTAGCCGCCGCTAGCATTAACACACATGACTCTCCAACTGAACAGTCACTCGTCAGGTTGCATTGTGGGTAATGAAGGCACAAGGTTTAGACAAGGTGGAAGAATTTGTTGAGTAAAAACATCCGGTATTTACGGTTTTAATACTCTCTTTTAAACTGTCCATCGTGAGTGATGACGAGACAGGAGGACGATGCTACGTCAGCGATTTAAAGCCGAACTACAGATTACCCTTATGACATCATCAGGGTTGTTTGCGTCAGACTTTAGGAAGCTGCTCCAGAGATAAAGAGGACACGATACAACAAAGCTCAGGGAAGTGACGTTACGTCCTGTCTAAGAACTACTACCTATTACAGCTGATCTAGCCCGCTCGGAGTAATTATTCACAACCGTCACCTGTTCTGACCAATCCGGTGGCAGCGAGCAGCAGCCTGCAGGTCATTCTGAGGGTTGAAGTCGCTGTCCATGAAGATGACGGTGTCGGCAGCGGTGAGGTTCAGGCCAACTCCGCCTGCAAAGAACAGCACATAATGTCTGAAAACTACCTGTTATTTACACACTTATTTAGGAATATAGCTTCAAGCATTCTGCACACAAACCTTCAAACCTCTGTCACTTTAAAGCACATTTTAGAAGCTCTACATGTAAAGTCTGATAATATAGAATGAATAACTGTGCTGTAATGGGATCAAACATTGTGGTTTTAATGGGACATTTTTGTCTTTAATGGTCCGAGTGTCTGTTCAGTTTATTATTGACTTATTATTGGAGCTGAGGTTCAACTGACAAAATAAAAATGCCGAAATGTCTAAATGTCCCTCGTGATGCAGAAGTGTCAATGAATACAAACATCAGATTTAAAACTGGAACTCAATGCAGCAATTGGAAAACATTTAAAACTGCCACCTCTGTTTATGAGCTGCAAAAAATATTTCAACATGTTTGTAATAAATGTAAAATCTAAAGATATCAAAAATAATGAATGAGAAATCAATCACAAAGCTTCTTTAAAGTGAGGCACAAGGGTTTAAATAGTACAAATACAAAGATAAAAAGCTGCTTTGAATATTCTGAAGCACAATGGGAACATGATTGATCCTGATGATGTTCAGTTGAATCCTACACATCACAACTCAACTTGTCTTCCTGGTTGTAGTTTTTAGGGTTTCCAGTCACCTGCTTTAGTGCTGAGCAGAAACACAAAGATATCTTTGCTGCTGAAGTTCTTCACTGCTAGATTTCTTTCTTCCCCTCGGACGGACCCGTCCAGACGCTCATAGCTGTAACCTGAAGAGATCGATTGAAGAGCTTCTTTGTAAAACATTACAGTCGCCAACGGAGGTTCACTTCAGTTACATTATGATGCCTTCAGGCTCTGCTCAGTGAACATGAGTAATCAAACAACAAAGGGATCTGTATCTGTTGATACCTCAACAGATTACCTCTGAACTCCATGTAATCCTGAAGAATGTCCAGCATCCTCGTCATCTGAGAGAACAGCAGGATCCGATGACCTCTTCCCCCACAGACAGGAAGAGAGATTCAGATCATCAATCCTTATCGTTCTTTTTGATTATTTATATATATTGAGAGACAGAG